GGACATATTCCTTACCCATTATTATACATACTTATACACACAGATTTGTTTTTTAAAAAATACTGATTTAACTAAAAAGCCCCTTGAATTATAAATCCACAAAGTTAACAAGAATGACCCTATGACAAATGCTGTAAGTCTACAGTGCACTATATTTGTATGATTTCTATGAGCATCATTAACACACTATACATTGTTTGATAACAACAACAAAATATCTAGTACTTTCAAATATTCAAAATAGAAGCAGATATTTATTTCCAGGATTAAAATATTGAATTACAGTATTTAGAAGCTTCCTTAATTGCATTGCCTTGTCTGTATTTGCTGAAATATAATCTACCCTTCTGAACAAATTTATCTTTCCAGAGATATGAAGACAGAAAGCAGAATCATTACCTATAGGGGAATGAACTAAAAGAACAGGACTGAAAACAAAACCCGAAATCCCACAGCAATATAATCCAACAGATCATTTTAACAGGTATGCAGAGAAAAATTAGAAAAATCTTTTCCACCTCCTGCTATATAGTTTTGGAACTATTGCCTAAAGTTTACTCTTCCCCCCACATCATGAATGATGGTGACTACATCTTACTGGTTTTTACAGTTTAGAAGTCATGGAAACTAACACAAAGAAAAGGACAAAGTAGCACATAAATCCCGGAAAATTAATGGGAAAGAACTGGAGGAGGAGGGGAGAATGGGGGAAAACATGTCACAGTAGCAACAGAGGTAGAGGCTGCTCAGGAAAGCCAATTCCCCATATAGGACTCTCGAGACGCAGCCTGTTATGCAAAAACCTTCTTCAGTTAAAACTCCTACTAACCCCCCGCAACATCCACCCCAGAACTGCACATGCACTACTAAAATCTTCAGACACATCTCTGAGTAGTGGATATAGCTATTGGGCTTTCACTTAGACACAGGACAAAGCAGCCCGAGGTACAGTAAATGCCATTTGAGAGCAAAGTCAACACTCAACTACTCTGACATCTTCTACCTTAAGAACTTGTCAGATATTGTCATCTTTTGACAGGAAAGTTTTTGTATTTTTTCCCCACAGTGTTGGATAGATTAATACTTTCATATTTAGTTATGCAATGGCATTAGGAGGACAGAAAGGAATAGGAATGTGCAAGGGTTGATTTAAAAAAGAATCATTGGGTTATGTAAGAGAAGTTAAGAAGAAATTAATTTATTTATACTAAAGTTGTTTATAAAAATAAAAAAGGAGGCAATAAAAAACCCAAAACCCAATTCCATTCCTCTATCACTGGAACAGAATAAATACTGCTTCCAGAAGTTGTTACTAGTAATACTGTTAAGACTTCTAATCCAACTTTACTATTTTCATGAGTTGAAGAAAAAGGATCAACTAAGGGCGTTACTCCATCCAAAATACAGGCACTGAATAACTTACACTAATAATCACTCACAGAATTTCTAAATAAACAATTCATCTTTTTTCCCCCAGAAATTTGTCCATGCATGCAAGAAATAGCCATGAGATTTATTTTACGGAAGGCCTCTGCTCCTTAAACACCTTATAAGTAAAATATATAATAATTCAAATGTAAATGTAATTAAATTAAGTTAATCACATCACTCTCTAATTTAAATTTATTCGGTATATGACATGTTAGTTTTACTTTAACTTTTAGGTTTTGTTCAATAATAGTTGGCCAGTTACAGCTTGGGTTTTTTTTTTTTGCTTGTTTCATTTTTTTGGAGGTTAGGATGTTGAGGGTGGAAGACAGGCAAAGGAAAGAGGAGAGGACAATCACATAGGCCTAGGAATATTTTTGACACTGAACTCATATGATCTGAACCTCTTAAGACATATTCTAAACACATTTTAAAACATAAAGCCTCTGCAAGACATTGGAGTAAATTAGCATTTTAAGTACAAAAACTTCTATAAGCAGGTAATGTTATACTTCACTAAGCATGAAAATTTGTTATGACTACTATGACTACAAAAATCGGCTTTCTCCTTTGAGCTGGCTATTAGAGATACTACCTCAGAGCTGATATTAAGCATTAGCTAAGGCCTTGTCTGGAAAGATTTTAAAGATCAAGGAGTGGCCTGAGGTGTATTACTTTTCTTAAGCATTCATTGCAGTATATTGCAGGAGTTCAGATACCAAACAACCAGGCCAGTTATACTGCTCTGTTGCATCAGCTAGAACTCCTAAGCCTCTCTGACTTAATCCACAGACAAGTGGCATTCCTCTCTCCTCAACACACATCACAGTGACTGCCTGATGGCTGGGAAGCAGCACAGAGAGGGCACAGGTGCTTCCTTTTGCTTCCAGTGATTTCTGATGACTATCACTGAATAAAGAATACTAAGCACCCCTGCATAACAAGACTGAAGTAGGGATTTTATGCTGTTTGTTACTCTTCCATCCTTGGCTATCAGCAGAATGTTAATTTTAATACCTACTCCTCCAACAGTGCACTGGTGTTACACAATATTATGATTTTATCATGACTGCTTTTCTTGTCCCTCACTGTAGCATCTTAAATTAATTTTCCCACTTACCTTTATGACTGAAAAGCTGATCAAAAAAATTTAACAGATCACCTCCATAAAAAAAGCTCTCATAGCTATTTACCATATGTTTCACTGTGAGGGTGGTGAGACACTGGAACAGGTTGCCCAGGGAAGCTGTGGATGCCCCATCCCTGGAGGTGTTCAAGACCAGGCTGGATGGGGCTTTGAGCAACCTGGTCTAGTGGAAGGTGTCCCTGCCCATGGTAGGGGGGTTGGAACTTGATGATCTTTAAGGTCCTTTCCAACCCAGACCATTCTATGATTCTATGATCTCTGTAAAATGGAAAACTAGAACAACCATCCCAGGTTCTTCCCTTGACTTCGGACACATTTCATTAATTCTGCCACCACTTTACAAATTATTAGATGATGTACCTTGGAAGGTACAATTTTGTCTCAACTTCAGCAGAACCATTAACTATTTGAAAATTAACTTCATGAACAATGCTAAGCATTGTTCTTTCAGGAAGCAGAAAAAGCAATGCAGAGTTTTGTATATATTGACTGAAAAATAAAACCCAACTCGATAAAACAACTTGAGGCGGCATCATTTCTTGATTACAAAATAGAAGGAATAAACGGAAGCCTAAAGATGTCTGTGACCTAGCTGAACGAAAATCAGATCTTGAGAGAAGACTGCAACTCAGAACTAGAGTATATTTCCACTATGATGTAACAGGCTATGTCAATCTTCAGGCTGCCATTCCAATAGAGACTAGTATTAATGCAGCTCAAAGTCCATGCAGCCTCTGTAGTGGTGGCAAGAAAACATGTCAGTTTCATAAGTAACACCTAAGGTAAGTTATTGCAGATCAAACTTTAGGAATACCATGGTTAATGAGGTTAACTTTGCTCTCAAGTGCATTCTCATAGTCATTTCCTCACCTTATACATGCAAGATATATTTCCTTCAAGAACAAAAAATGAACGCAATACAATGTTTTATACAATTTCCCAAATACATCCAATTCTCCATATCACTCATCACCATGAGTGCTTAATCAATATGTCACTGTTATCTGGCATCATTCAGTTTATTCACATATCACAATTAGTCATTCCCCACAGCTACCACTGTACTTCTTTGCTACTTCGCTGTAAAAATGCTTCCATGTGCTTTATTCTTCTTGCACTAGTCCAACATGGAACTCAAGCGACCTTCATTAAATGTTCTGAAACTTTCATTGCTCTGAGACATATTCATGCTTGCACACTGATGCTACCATGTACAGCTGTCAGAAGGCACCAATTGAGAACAGGCAACTGATGAGTGATTTTAGTTTTTTTTTTTTTTTTAGGGGAGCTCAACATAGTTTTTTCTCTAATGTGCATATGCACAAAACAGAAGAGATGTTGAGAAGTAACGAGCGTGGGCACACTGAACTATTAGAGGATGAATAATCAATTGGTTCTTTGTGAATTACATAGGGAAAATCTGGGCTTCCCTATGAACACCAAGAACAAGGATATGACTGACCAAGTAAACTGCAGGGTAGAAAACAGGAACATGAGAGAGATGCAGTATCACAAGAGCTAAGATAAAGGGAGAAAGTTAAGACTGAAAAATAATATTCAGTGTCAAGTTAAAAATTCCTTCTGAGTGGACAACATCATTACAACTTGTACCACCAAAAGGTGCAACACTGGAACAGAAACTTTGCCAGCTATATACACTAAAACCTTTAAGCTTCAAATCATTGGCCAAATTCGAGACATACCATTTCCTCCTGCAGTTTTACTGCAAAAACTAAGAGACAAATACACAGTCCTATGCTCATGGATGAAGTTTCACAACAGCATTATCTTCTAACCTTTGCACCTCAATCTTTGAGCTTCTTATTTTCAATAATTACAATCCATGACAAAAGACCAAGGTCTTTATTAACTACCCACATCTTAGTTCAGTGAATAAGGGCTCCAAATAAAAATTTTTGTATCATAATAAGCTTCCAATCCTTCAATAAAGAACTTAAATATTTACTCAAATCTAGATCAGCAATAATTCCCTTTATCTACTGTGATGTTATAACTCTGTTCGCTAATTTCATTATGGTTGGGTAAGTTTGCTGAGTGCCTTCTAGTTTAGCAACAACTATTCCACTAAAATCCTACTTTTTTTCCAGATTCCAGTCTAGCAAGACCAGTCTTGTCCCTGCTGCTTAAATATTTTGGTACCCATTCACTATTGATGTTTTAATCTTTTGAAGCCTGTAATTTGCTTAACACATTAATGTTTGTGATTTGAATCAACACCGTATGCTAAGTAAAACCAACTACATCAGCATCACCAAAAAGAATTACAGGAGCTCAGAAACTAATATCTCATTCCCATTTGTCTTCTCCCTGGTTTTCACTTCTTCTCATTCACAGTTTAGCAAAGTAGCTTATGCCTTTCACACTTCATATTTATTGTTGCTAAGCCTGTTCGAGCTTCTTTGATAACGTTATGAAAAAAATTCACAGAATGTCTTAACAGTTCATCAGTTACCCAAGAACTAAATCTGAATTCACAACAAAGCATAGATCCTCAAAAATTATCCACATTTTCGCCCACGGCAGTCATGCTAAGCAACTGATTCTGAAACAGTGATACTGACAACAATGCACACAGCATTGACACTGGCCCTGAATTTGACCGCAGCTGATTTCAGTGACACAAGATTAAGTCAGAATGAGCCCAGGCTTTATTATTCATATTGTATCACTCGGTTATTTTAAAACCTCTCCATTCCAGACCATTCTTTTGAAACTCTTTTCATACATAGAAAAACATCTCAAGAACACAATCTTTACAACTCTGTGCCACTATTCTGCTCTACTACCTTTAAAAACAGATTCAGGGATACCAGGTAGTCATTGGCATTCCCACCACTTTGCTTTTATTTCAAACTGAATTAAGTTGATGCTATTCAATTACATAGTTTAGTCCACAAAAGTCATAATAATATTTTCTCCTGTAGTCTTAGGTAACTACTTCAGTAACCAGAATTTATTCTTTGTTTACAAAGGAATAAAGCAAAATTAAAAAGTATTTTATAAGCTTGCCTATTCAGACAGCTATAAAAAGCTTCTCAGCAATTTCCACTTACCTTTATCTCAGGCTCTTTTTCACATTCTTCTATATATAAATCATAGAGTTTTTGAAATACAGATTTTCTGAAATTAAAAAAGCTTAAAATGTAACCGAAATTAAATCAAAGAAATGCTATTTAAAAGCTAAATACTGAAACTCTTACTACCTTCCACTGGATAGATATTTTCTTTTGGGAGGTCTCTGACGGGCACTTTCAATTATATACTAGAAGAGAAAAAGAAACCAAAAAAATAACATATATATTACAAAGACATTTAGTTCTAGCTACCATGCAACTTTAGATCATTAGTAGTGTTCCACGGATAGAGAAAGTAATACACTACATGACAGTTTCAAAAGTATACTGAACATGATCTGGTGTAGGTTACAATCATCAACAAGAACACATAATTAAGCTGTGAAACACAGTATTTCATGGCTATGGAATGAGTTTCATGCAAAGTCTTAATTTTACATTTCTGTTTCGTAATTACAGTAGTAAATAACACTACTGTAGTAGTTAACACTATTTAGTTAACTACTATAGTAGTTAACGCTACTGAAACTAACATGGTAACATACTGAAGTAAACGTGTTAAGATACAATCAAATTCGTGTACTGGCTCAACAGTATTTACAAATGAAGTACTCCTCAACATAACCAACTTCAGGAAGTTTTATTTTCCCTTTGTTTCTTCCATTTACACTAGTTTTCTTCACAGAACTGTGTATTATAAATACAAGTTATGTACACTAAATATCTGAATTACAAAAGATGAAAAAAGATACCCTACATTAAATGTAGCTTATATTCTAAAAGGTTTTTTCCAAATCTTTATTGTTTGCCTGAAATATTGTGATTAACAGCTTAGTTCAGAATTTCAATGAAGAGAGGTTCTTCCACAGTTATGTATTTCCCATAGTAGGGTTCCAGGTAACCACTATATCAGATGTCAGCATGAAAGAATATGAATGTGAAGGCACTTGCTTTCATTCTAACTGGGCTACCCTTAAAAACACAAACTGGATTTTGCCACATATTTCTGCCAGCTGTCTCTGGATCACCGCTGTACAGCTCTGCTTACTTCACAGCACATAGATTTGCTGTTTTAAAAGGGGAAAACTGAAGTCCTGTACAGTCTATCATCATTGCTGTCTTGGTGTCAGGACCACCACC